GAGTCTTGCCTTTAACGGCAATGTATCCAAAGTGAAACCGTTACCGCCACAACTCGATTTTCCTTTCTGATTGCACGATCGTTTCCCTTGCTTCTCACATTTTAGCGGTAACGGCTTATAGCGAGAACTGCCTTCAGCCTTAGCGCCATTCTCTTTTGGTAAAGTAGGTACATCCTGCGTGCTTGCAGATAACTTACTCTTCCAGCTAAGCTGAGGTTTCACTTCAGTGGGAACTCGCGGGATGTGCCTTCAACTGCTAACGTGCATCTTCACGATGCTTTCCTGTCTTATTGATAATGTAGTCAATCTCCTTCGTTTACTGTCATGTCTTCCCTTTCACTTGACAGATGTCGTTATCGGCCCAGAAATGCTTAGAATAGATCAGCTCGTCTTTTGATCCCACCTCGTCACGTCAATGTGAAAGGAACCTCACTCGCTTTAGCGTCTGAGCTTCTCATTCAAAAAACTCAATAAGCAATAATCATTCCGCTTGCTTCCAAGCCTCCCATTTGAACGGTTGAACAGAAATCAGCAGTGGTGATCACTGATCATTGTTTTCTTTACATGCATTCATTTCACACAGTGACTATTGATTTATTGATTGAGTTCTTGCTAGCAGGAAAGTTAACATATGTTGATCAATATAACAATAAAACCGGGAAACCTGGGAACCGGACATAACCGCTTCGTGACATTTTTCTAAGCGCCTGCAGAAAGCCACAGGTACAAGCTTTGGGAACACGTGGAACATATTCCACGATGGGACTGTGGAAACGCTCCTACCATTAGGTAAGGGTGCTCAAGCGCTTGAAATACGGCTCATTGTGCCTGCAGAAGGAGGGACTGAGTAAAATCGGTCTCTCTTTGAATTCAGCGCGGAAATCTCGTCATTGACGCTGGCTACATGTAGCTCGTCTGATGCTCTTTGGCCTCCCATCGTGTCAACGCCTGTTCTCTTGACTAATGCCTAGAGTTTCTTTGTAGTTGGTTCCTGTGATACCCAAATTATCAACTGCAAAAGTGTAGCCCTGTTTGGTTTCATGTAGCCCTGTTTGGTTTCAATTTATGCCCGCTGATGCTTACCTCACCTTGTGACTCGAACTTACACTCCACGATCACAACATGTGCCTTATTTGGCTTGGAATTAGAAGTAGACGTGGAGTGGGAGTTGGATTGTGGTAAACAAGAAAGCAGAGAAACCACTGAACACATTGGAAGCGACGGCAATCTTCTTTGTGAGATCAACTGTGGTAGATTGGAGAGACATGGCGCGCCGAGCAAAGGAAGAAGCATCGAAAGTGCACGACCTACTATATGGTAGTATAGTATATAGTAGTATAGTTGCCTCACTTCCAAGTTGTTTACAAGAACAAGGAAGCGGTCGAACCAGTGACGACAAGTCTGTAACTCCATATTTACTTCAGGCACTTTCAAGAGTCAGAATAGCACATCCGCAACCTTCGTAATCTTTATCCTACGGATCAAGAAGATTGAACTTCTTGAGTGACGATCATAACTGTCTCTCTATTGCTGGCATTCTCCAGGACCTCACATTCATTTTACTCATGTACTACTCATAGTTTTGTTCCGAAAAACTTCATTATGGCGAAACAGATTCCTTGCGTGTTTTATGGTTTTTTGTTCAGTGATCAGAAAGAATACTAAACTGTTTATGAAATCATCTGTTGCATGTCTTGGAAACACATTTTGCAGCAGATAATGCATAGTATATAATGTAATAATAGTTCTTGGTCACTTTACTTCATAGAGGAATTATTATTCTTCTATTACATTTTTTATCTCCACGCTAGAGTTGGGGGTGTTCACGGAATGCTTTCGTTATCTAGAGCAAATAAACCGGTCAAAAAAGGTACTCTTCATTTCCTCAGAGACGAATATAGGAACACATAAAGTGGTCTTCATTTATCCCCACTGATCAAGCCACAGTTTTCCTCCGAGTCAGCTCATGTGTTCGCCATTTCTCTCGAGCAAACTAATAAATGTTGCTCTGTCGTGCGTGTAAAACTTCGCGATTTCAGGTAATGACCAGGAAGGAGGTAAACCGACTAGGCGTACTTGGAGCCACCAGTTACATCATCGGCTCAGTAATCGGATCTGGTATATTCGTCTCTCCAAAAGGCATTCTAGAGCATACTGGTTCAGTAGGGTTGTCGTTGATCGTTTGGGTAGGAGCTGCCATTTTGGCCAGTTTGACAGCAATAGTGAGTTCACTGATTCAATAGCATGAAGTTTGGAGATTTTCTAAGTTTTCTAAGTTGGCACTCGAGAACGTATTGAGAGATAGAGTGTAGGATCAAGAGATTTTGCTACGTGTGGCTTTCGTTTTCGAAACCGTGTACATCCTCAGCGATGAGTCCCTTTAATGCTTTCCACAGCGTTCCACGTAAAATACACCTACTCAGTCACTGTCAACGGGACTCCCTGACAGCAATCCAGACTCATTCATATGCAGTCAACTAGAAGCTAAACTTCCAGTGCACAAGTGACAATTCTAGGAAACTGTTTGCAGTAGTACCTTCCACAAGATTTCTGGCCGAATGCAAAAAAAAATGCCAATCTGTTCTACGCTATTTTGTGAGAAACTCAGGCGAGATGTGCGCGTACAGCACCTTCGAGGAACTTTCGGGGCTAATTCAAGCCAGCTTTAGTCTCCTGAGTAGTCCTGAGTTGAACACGCCCTCGCCTACTCTTGTTCACCTCGCCCAAATCTTACCACCTTTACGAACATGCGATCTTTCTGCTCTTAGCACCTCCTGAGCTGCCGCTTCCTGCACAATACGTACTACACACAAAATATTAAAAAAGTAATATGACTTTGAAGAAATAAATTATTCCAGAATTACATAGAGCTTGGCACCAGCATTCCGGAATCGGGTGCAGAATTTGCCTACATCAGCTACGTCAAATGGTATCCGATCGCGTTCTCATTTCTCTGGCTGGCTACTCTCATTCAAAGGTTTTGTTGTGGATTGATCATTAATAAGTGACACTTTCCCGGTCAAGATTGGCGGTCATCCGCTTTTAAAAGAAGTAGAGGAAATGGAGGACCCCAGCAAAGAGAAATTGTGAAAAACAACAGGAAATGGGCCCCTAGTTTTATGCAATTCAAAGGGCCACGACCGAAGAGACACACTGTGCAAGAGAAGAAAATTTCCAAGAAGAGGTGGCAATGGGCTTTGAAAATCAGAATTACTGATGTCCTTACCTCATGATTGCGGATCCTTGTGCGCATTCACAGAAGGGCTTATTCCAACAAACTTATTGCGGATGTTTTTAAACACTTTGTACCTTTTTGCCGATTTTCACCTACACACCTATTTTTAGTTCCTGTAGTGGTGCAACACTGGCACTTACCTTTGGCGAATACATAATCGAAGCCATAACCACCAATTACATGCCTGAGCAGTCAAAATCGAAAAGTCGCCGTACTCCTGCTAGCCTACGGGATTTTGCGTGAGTTGACAAGTTATGCTCATCCATTATTTTCGAGAAGTAGGATGACTTCCTGCACATTTGTTGTAATTTTGAAACCTTCTGAATGGTTTCTCAGAGCTTACTATAATTTTGGAGCAATTGATGAGAAGTTGGAGCCCAATGCATAACGTGATTTGCCACTTAACATAGCATAGCGGGATCACTGGGCTACCGAGTGCAGATTGATGCCCACCTTCCATACTCTTATTTTTGTCTGCGTATTGCTGCTAGTAGATAGTTGGAGTAGATTTCCGCCAACCTAAATGTGTGGAGCTGGTCTCTTGTGTGATCGACACCTGATAGTCACGAGCTGCGAGTGTATAGGCATGGATGGATGCGTGTGTGAGTATGCGCGCTTAGAGAAATTATTCACGGAAAAATCATGATTCTATTTCAGCCATAAATCACTAGCTTGGGACTCATCATCCTCGAGAAGAGTAAAAGACAGAAAATTGCATGGTAGGAAATTCAAGGATCGAAAGGGCTGCTACGCGTCCAAGGTACCGCCGCACATCTATCACAAATGCTGGCGACGGGAATTCTTGCTCTTGGTTCTTGTAGTTCCCACTAGAAACTCTTTCTGCTTTTTGACTTATGTGCCATAGCACCATGCTTCACTTCCATCCTCCTAAAATATCACTATCGACCGTTGCCCTATTTTCAGATCGCCGTCACGCTTTAACACGCCATTCTTTCATTGCGTCGCCTGATACGTAGCCGCCCCAATGCAACTTCTTTCTATGCCCCTCCTTCGGCTCGGTGCGAATTACCTTTGATTGTCCATAGAGTGCATTATTGTGAGTTTGTTCCTCTTCGAAAACCTAAACCTTCGGGCGTGAAACTTTGTGTGTTGCGTCCAGTGATCACACTGATACATTCGTGTTGAGGAAGGATGCAAGATTCTCTGCGAAGGATTCCCTTAATTGTCAGGAACAATAGGTAATAAAACTTTCATTCCTAACTTGCAGTGGAGTACCGAGAGGAATTTATTCGTAAACTGCAGTTTGCATAAGTCCAATGTCCACGAAAAGAAGATAGTGATGGCTGCATGGTGGGGAGTAGTGAGATTGGAGTGAGAGAGATCCGAACAGCTACGCTGGAAATGAACTTAATTTGACAAGGAGTTTGCGTATGAACTATTATAGCATGCAATTATTGAATTACCAACAAACTAAAACACGTAGTAGTGGAAATGTTACATCGAATTCTGTCCTACTGCATGATGCCGCAGTGGGACTCATCGATAATGAGATATATGGAAATCTTGGTAAGCAATTAACGTTTTGCTAGTTAAAGTAAGAACGTTGAACCAAGTGAGCGATGAACAGACGAGCTAGAATTTTAGATAATGCCACGTAAAAAGGGTTGTACAGCCGCCTTGCATAGAGCGACTTCGAACCAGAGTCAACCCTGCGTTGCGCAGTTTTCAACGGCCACGTTGCGCAGTTTCGCCCGATTAGACACGTTCTCTCGCGCGAACATTCACACTCGCATGCTCGAGCCGTCTGCGTCTCCGCCCATACAGCGTGCGTTGAGGATCTCTCAACGTGCCGTTGCGAACTGCGCAACGCAGGGTTGACTCTGCTTCACACTGAAACTGAAATTGCGCCCGATGTAAGAAAGGCTAGATACCACCGGTTCTGGAGCTCTCACGAGTGTGCGATATCCGAACTGAGTGCGAGTCAGTGTTTCCCGCGGTAGCTTCGCGTGCTTGATCACAGAACATCTTCACCCATGGTCGCTTCTCAAGTCAGCAGCAATTGTCTGGTGTTGCCTGTTTTTGTTTTTGCCTTCATTCACAAGTCCACGTCATCAAAAATGCCTATACCGACCCGAGTTTTCCACAGGAGAATGGGCTACCCACGTAAGCAACAGAGCACATTGCAATCGTTCCGACAGCACACATTCGCGGTGGAGTACGATTAGCCACTTCCCGCAAAGTGAAAGTGAGTTGCTGACTGCTTTGGCAAGCAGTCAGCAACTCTTGCTGTTTAGTCAATGTGGAAATGTTGAGTTACTTGGTTCCATGGAGACATTGTTCCTGATTACTCTCCACTCTTCAATTTTCTTATATTTGTACTTAGAGGAATCTTTCACGGAAAATCATCGCCTCCATTCCTACAAAAAACGATACCTTAGGCCCCTTGCTTCATGAAGATAGCAAAAAGAACGGAACATAGGCGATGGTTTTGATAATAATTATGATAACCAGTTCGACTATGAAAATTTTGAATTCCCGCTGTAAAACTTCCACAACTGTTAGCGGCGTGGAGTCAACACGTGCAAACGTGTCAAAAGCGTGAACGTGAACTGGATTCATGTTGGGCCCTTCCCATAAACTGACACGTGGATCCGCACCTGCCACGCACTTCGTCACAGAAGCACTTCCGGTCCCGCCTACTGGTCCAATCCGGTCCACAGATGGGTCTTTCCAAGGGCTGTTTCTCTTGGGGGTTTCATCATTTTCGCTCTGAACTTTGCATATGGTCTTCAATGACCATGCCCAACACCTGTACACAAGGAAAGGATAAGCAGTCTTCCGTGGAAGATTCCTTTAACTAAGAGGTTAAACCTTATTTGACCATCTTTCGTCATTGCGATAGTGGCATGGTACCAAAATGTATCAAAAGTGTATTTGCTAAATGACTAAAAGGCAGATGGCCAGACCAAGACACTGCCTTATCGCTCGAGCTGAGAACATAATCTCGAATTGTTAAGATGAAGAATCAAACCCGCACAAAACGAACAACTAGAAAAAAAGGCATGGCGGGTTGACTTCTATCAGGGTACTACACATTAATTGAGCCTGTATCTGTGAACTGATGTAATCTGTGAAACTGTAACTTTTCTCACCAAAGGCTAGACACTAAAAAATGGTGAGTAAACGCTATTTGGGTATTCATCAGCTTTACTTTTGCTCCAGGACAGCAAGTAGTAATATCTCAGGATCGTTGTCATTGTAATGATTCCAAATAGCTTCCTGTTTCCCCTTGCAGTTATTTGCAAGGAGTTATAAGTTTACTACTAAACGTAAAGAACTAGCCGACACGCGCAATCTTTCATATTACCGTATGGACAAAAAAACACTGTCTGCTAAAACACATCGTATGTCGTAGCGTCTTCAGCAGGGAGTAGAATCTTTTCTAAACTGTTATACATTTGCGGCACTTCTACATGGGCGAAGCCATGAAGAATTAGAATGCACTTGGACGCAGCGGGCAGGCTACATTCACATAGATACCAGTAGACACACTTTTATTAGGGTAGGCCAAAACATTGGGGACCACGAGTGCGTGCAGTCAGATCCACCTAATTTTCCAGATCTATCCATTTTCTTCTTTTCTGTGCACGAAGTGATAGAAAACAACATCTTCTTCCTAGCGCAATCAAGTAACATGCATGACTCTAAACTAGTGAGCAACCACACCTCTATATTTAATCATTGAGGTGTTCGAGCACGCCACGTCTAGCGGCAGTTGACAAGTGACAAGGATTGCTTTTAGAGCAAGATGACAAGCTCTTCTTGCTCTAAAAGCATGCGCTGAAACATTGTCAGCATTAATAGAATACACTCCGTCGAGGAAAGAAGGCGTCTAAATCTAGTAGCTCATCGGGACTAATATCGAGCGCAGATGGTCGTTGTCCTCTTTGTGATTTTCGCAGCTTCAAGATGAAAAATTGATACTAAAGGCCACTAGGACATCCCATAGACTACGCTTGTCGTAAGCAAAATGTCTGTCAATCAATCTCTCTATTTTTGATTTCTCGTCGCCTTAGAGTGCATAGCCATAAAATGACAGCTCGACAAAGGACGGGTTACACGAGCCCATAGCTTTCGAGCAGTTGCGTCGAATTATCATCACTCTTTTGTATCCGCTTACTCGGAATTCGAAAGAGCAACGAGGAATCTTTTCGCAAAACATACCAAAGATCAAAGGGAGCTAAACGAACTTACCGCATGCGATAAATAAAGATATATGGAGGTGGCAAAAGCGGAAAATTCGTGGCTCTATCACAAGAAATGGAAATCTCCAAGGCAGGACCATTTACTGGAAATATACAGGGTGGCGAAAAATTACGTGCGCCATAAAACACGTTCAAACTTTATTTCTTGTCCACAAAAATTTCGAAAGTTATTGATTTTATAAAACAACAAACAATGACATTTTATAACTGTAAAAAAGATTTGGAGTAGCTGCAATTATGATACAGGCCTCAATTTGTTTCTTCACCCAGTCATGGTGCGGCGGAGGTGTTCAACGCATATTTCATTCCAAATTTCAGGCAGTTCTTTTCGGAATCATCAAACATCTTGCTTTTTTTGTCAATAGAAACCTGTGCAGGCCTGCTCAGAGCAGTGATCCAGCCTCAGTCCATCAAATTTTCAGGGAACGAGATTCTTCTGGGTACTTTCCAATTAAGGATGTTGCTAAGAGCTGATGTAAAAGATTAAAGGTGATTGTGAGAGTGGTTAAGGCACTTAAACGGTAAATTTTTATTTGTGAAGCCACAAGGCGTCCTAGGACCGCCGCACCTCAGAAAAATCCCGCAACTTCTTATATTTCCTTCCGATCTTGCTTTGCTTGGAGGGTGGGAAACTGCCCGTTTGATATACGATATAGTCCATTCCGCACTTTATTTTTGCTGTCATCTGAACCAATTCTCGGAAGGCTTGGTTCTGTTCGGCCCTCTTATTCAAGCTCAGGTCATCTTTTTGGTCATTCCTCTTTTTAATAATTTTTCTCACACATCGGGTGTTGGTTATCCGTTCTCATTCCCTTACGGGTTTGGTAAGAGATAGTCTTCCTCTTTCTAATGCTTTCCAGTTTTTTGGACGGTTCGTAGAAAAATTGTGAGCCTCGGAGAAATCGTTTAGCTCTCAGTCGAGCTGTTTGCTTGCCATGCAATCGCACTCCAACTTGAATAGGTCTTTGTCAGAACTTGGAAAACAAATTTCTTTTTTTGCAAACCAATAACTAGCTATTAACAAAGAGTTTGAAAAAAAAGCACACACAAATTCCTCCTACAATGTTTTAAACGAAGCGGAATGTCACGCGCACGTAATTTTTCGCCACCCTGTATAATACTTCAGAAGAATTGATCAAACAATATCGCCGTCTCAACAAAATGTGGACTGAGGTGGTCGATCAGCAAGTTTGCCAAGGAACATCGCAAAGCGGCTGAAAGGTGTCCGATCCTTTCAGATCCTCTATGTGCTCATTAAAACTCGAAACTACCTCAGGATGACCATTTTGCTTCCAGATCAGACTCATCATCAGCAATACCGATGGCCGCGCGTATACAATATCATGGTTGCTAAATCTAATATTAGCTCTGCTCCTTGAGTATCTCACCGCACACCTCTCTAATGCTACATCCCTACGTGCTAAACTTCAGGATACCAGTGTGAGAAGTAAGCGAATCAGCCCATCTTGCATTTCTGATGGGGCCGTATGCTGAAGGGAGATGGGGTTCTAGACGACTACTTCAACTCGGTCCTTAAAACCGCCTCAATTTGATGCTTACCTCAGGACTAAGCCTTAAAGAGAGGACGGACCTGCGAGAGAGCGCAGGTCCGTCCTCTCTCCAAGGCTTAGTCCAGGGTAAGCAAACCAGTCCTTTTAGACCTAACTGCGCCACTTCGTCATCACTCTTCTACTGTAGAGTTCAAGTAGTCATCAACCTCCGGGACCTCATCCCCTCCCCAATGTTTAGCATCGGCCCCAAACGGACAGAGAATAGGCTCGCTTCCCAGTGTTTAGGCTCTGCGCTTCGGGTACTTCCAAAACAAGAAAGAAGAACGTATCAGAACCCGACTAGCGAAAGCCTTCTACCTTACTTCAGTTCTGCTCATTTGTCTGATTTGAAGAGTGCGAATAATAGAGATATGATGCGCACCGCCTCAAAAGTGTTATCAGGAAGCCAAGGAAGATCGAATCCTTCATAGAGACACAGGCGATGGGTTGTTGCAGACGGTCGTTGCGAAAGACAACTGAGTGAAGCCATACGCTCGTACGTAAGAAAGACTGATGTTCAGGATTGGGTGAGGGTGATGGTCATTCAATCTACGCATCCAAGGACAGTTATTCCAAAATCGCCTTTATGATCACGTTCGCGTAACCCTTCCTGTGCCGTATTTCCATTCGGTAAGGACGCCGACTTCATGATATAAGGCTTATTCGTGATAATGGAGAATCATAAAAACTTTTAGTAATTTACTGACGGTCGGTCGCACTATAGCTTTTTCCTTTCAGCATTGGACTGTCGATAATAGGTGCTGACAATACTTCAGTCGTGATCATAGAGGATCAAGGAAACAGGCTCTAGAGCTTATAAATGATAAATGAATCAGGAGATCTTCTAGCACTTCTGCCCGATCGCGAAACCACAAATTGTAGTGGTGCTGGAGTACCCCCAGGAGGCCCGTCGCGCGGCAAAAAGGCAAAGTCAGCGGACGAGTCGCGCGCGCACTATAGGGATTTCGCGTCAAGTTAAATAGAGTGTCCCATTGCACGTCCTACATCGCACATCACGCGCTGCAACTCGTCCGACGACTCTGCCTTCTTGCCGCGCGACGGGCCTCCTGTATGAAAGCACACCAAATTAGTCGTTGCACATCCCAGACATCACAAAGACACATTACGGTCGAACGCCTAGACAATACTCGTCGTAAACGTCCTTCTCGTTAGAGACTTGTTTGCGTCCAGAGAAACACAGTTGTTATGCCTCGACAAGCAGCAATCGCTCAGATCACAAGACGCCTTCCCTCACATTTTTGGCATCAAGTGCGATCAATCACTCCTATGAGCACTGACAAGTTTAGAGTATTTAGCTATACTCTTGTTAAGTAGTATTCTAGTGTCAACGTCGTTGCTGAATATGTTTTCGCTTAGCCGATTCGCCGGCCGCATTCAATGTGTCAGCATGGCAGCCAAAGTTGCAGCGTTAATCATGATCATAGGAATCGGTTTATTCTACATGATATTTAAAGGTGAGAATTTAGACAGTTGTCATTGCTTATTTCTCTCATCTTCTACGTCTAAGCCTTTTTCGCTACTCGTTAGTTGTTGCGAATTGCCTTTTTCAGCATGCTTCCATGAGAGCAGATAACTGCTCCCACGGATGTCTCTTTGTGTTTCAGGCGACACTCAACACTTCAGCAAGGACTACATCTTCAAAGACAGCGACTGGTCAGCTACTCAAATTGTGCTTGCGTTGTATCAAGGAAACTGGGCCTACGGCGGCTACACAATTCTCAACTACGGCATGGAGGACATCCAGATAAAGAATTTCAAGAGTTACCGAATTTCAAGAGTTTTTTTTTGAAGAAATTATGAATTAAATTATATTGTCAAAGACGCACCTGCAATTCTTATTGAATTACGAGTGACGTAGCTCAATTTTCATTTACAGAGGTAGCGTCTCGCTTGCATTCCGAAATGTGTGGTAAAGTTAGAGCCTTAAAGACATGCAACCATGCACAATTTATGCCCCTATGCCCGCACGCCATTGCGAAGTTGGTTGTTCTCGTTCATTTCCTACGTATTCTCAGTCTACTTCCTCTCTCGGCACTCATCGTCAGGTATCTTAACTTCCAGCCTTGCTGGATCGCTCATTCTCCAGAAAAAAATAGTTGGAACCCTTCTCAGTGGCTCTATTTCATTTTCATTCACAGCCAATTCGCTACGCCTTGTGCTTTTATGTCCGAGAGCACTGGTCACAGCTGGCGACCTCGTCAAACCTGATAGAAATCTGCCATCTTGTGCAATCTCGATATTTAGGCTAATTGCTCTTCTTTTTCAGGACAGTTCCGGTAGCGGTTCTAAGTGGTCTCTTTGTCAGTGCATTTATATACGTGTTGGCAAATGTGGCATATTTTGCTGTACTCACACCTCAACAGATACTTGATTCCTCCGCTGTCGCAACGGTACCGTTTTGACGTGACATATTCTCTTGAAATCTTTCCATTTCTCCGAATGGGAGAAGGAAGACAAAAAACTTTGCCCAAAACCCAACTCTAGAGCTACTCCATAAGTCCTTCTTAATTCGGTACTTCTGACTTTATTTGTAAATGTGAAAAGCATTTATGCGAGCAATGATTATCGTGGTAGTGGCTCACTCTGCAAAGTATGAGTTCTTACCTCACTGAATAAATAAGGCAGCTAATCAGATTGGCAGCTACTGCGGGAAAGCCTCAAAGCCCAAGTTTGACAAAGGAAGAACGCAGAACAGAGCATCATTAGCAGCAGAGAGACGGTTCAGGGTACCCAACTACGGAAAATTTCACTCTGATCCCCAGAGGACAATGTTTTCTTCGAGAATTCGGCGACCAACAGCTTACCTCGCTAGCAAATCAGATGTAGGCGATGTTCTCTTCTGGGACCTTTTATGAGGCCAGCTCAAGCTAGAATGGGATAATTTTTGAATTTTCTCTGACGACAGTTACAACTTGGAGCTTGAAATGGAAGCTATCGGAATCGATCTGGGGATGTTGCTTTGAATATAATAGCATTTGTGGTCTGCTCGTTATCGAGCGTTCCCAAAACAGCATGATCTACTAGACCAAGAAACTAGGAAGCAAGAATATGTCAAATTGCATGCAACCCGTTCAACGAAGTGCTTTTTCGGGTAGTGGATAGCGTACTTGTGAGCATTCAATCAACTATCTTCTTCCATTGTTCTTATTTGTGTTAGTTGTTTGTGCCGTACGAGGTTTATAGGTGGAACATTTATTAGTTCGGCCTAACGTTTCGACAAAATCGTCGTCTTCTGAGGCCTAAATGCGGTTCAAGGTTAAGACTTACGTTCTAATCCACCAAGCGCCTTATCTTCTCTAGCGGTTCCGACATTCCGTCAGGAGCCCACCGAGAAACATAAGAAAAATAATTTTCGAAACTCACCCCGGGGTTCCACCGTTTGCGCAGCGTTTCCCGCTACCACACAGAGACGTTACCCAGTATGAAATAATGCACGCCGCATTGTCTCCTGATTTTAGTGAAAATTGGAAGACAAGCGCACGTGCGTCTCTCAGTTTTCACTAAAATGCGGCGGCGTGCGGCGTGCATTATTTCATACTGGGTAACGTCTCTGTGTGGTAGCGCAAACGCTGCGCAAACGGTGGAACCCCGGGGTGAGTTTCGAAACTTATTTTCTTATGTTTCTCGGTGGGCTCCTGACGGAATGTCGGAACCGCTAGAGAAGATAAGGCGCTTGGTGGATTAGAACGTAAGTCTCAACCTTGAACCGCATTTAGGCCTCAGAAGACGACGATTTTGTCGAAACGTTAGGCCGAACTAATAAATGTTCCACCTATAAACCTCGTACGGCACAAACAACTAACACAAATAAGAACAAGGATGCCGAGGTTACAAGAAGAAGAGAGAAGCTGGAGGCTATCTTCTTCCAATTCCGTAATCAATGACTTCCTATTTTATCGCAAAGAGAAGTGAACTCAGCTTTACCTCGAGCAACAATTGAATTCGCGGTAATATGTACAGTAGCGGTCAAAAGTGTTCGCCGGAACGATTTTTAGTGCATTATTTTTTCTCGCTTGAGCAACGCCCTCCAAAGATTGATATACTATGTTTTCTAGTGTTTTTATATCCTCAAGTCTTAAAGAATCAGGATATTCAAAAGAAAATTTTCGAGGCCACCATTGATTTTTTTCTGGCAAAAAAAAAGAGAAGCACGAAAAACCGTTTCGGCGAACACTTTTGACCGCTACTGTATCTATTGGGTTGACCATAATTTCTGGCCGAATTTCAACACTTTGATTTATTCAAGTTTTATCTTTCTAAAAACAATTGATCAAAACATAACCACCATCATAATCACTGATATGCACCCATTTGCTAGGGAACGAATGGATGCATTCCTCCCAGAACGAGAGAAGCTGTGAGATGAAAAGCTCGGAAGAGGTCGTTTTTGGGGTGGTTGTATTTACTGACTTTTTCTCTCCTAGCTGCTGCTTCAGGGAGCTGAGGAGGTGATAGTACGATGGAGCAATGTCAGGGCTATACGATAGATGTGGTGTCGTGGTCCAGCCAGTTTCCCTCGAAACGTGGCGAGTTATCTTTGCAATGTGATTTCGGGCGGTCCTCGGAGAAAGGAGATTTTGAGACTTTTCCAACCGTTCTCCCGCACTGCTGCGGCCAACTTTGGAAGCTATTCCATGGTTACCTTCGCAATGCTTGTCTGCATAAAGTGAAATGGTTCTCAAAACGGGATACCCAGCGAATCCAACAAACCGGGGTCACATCCTCTGATGAAAGAGCTCGGGTTTTGGTTGAGATGGTGCGTCCAGGCTGCGAGGTAGCCACCAGGCGAGCCGCGTGTTGTTATCGTAGTGGACTCATGACTCATCTGCACTGGTGACCAACTAGGGAATGTCTTGTCTATACGGTCGCAGAATGAAACTTCTGCAGATGGTCAGGCGTGCTTCTCGGTCATGGTCAGTCCATGCATGCTGTTTCCATCGAGGCTTCATTCTGCTACAGTCCATTCCATTCAGGTGTCGACTCATGGAGCGTAGGCTGCGCCCAGATGTTTGCTACAGTTTCCTGCTAATAGCGTCCGGATGCACTTCCTATTCGTAGCGCAAGGGTCCTCATCGAAAGTGATTGGAGGTCCATGATGAGGTCGAACTTTGCAGCTCCTATCGCCTTTGCCGATGCTATTGAGCCAATAGCTCAGTGCCCGATCAGTAGCAAAGACTGGGGCAAACGTAGCGCTGATCTTGCCTACCGCGCTCCTTGCAAGGTTCTTCTTAAAATTGTCGCAAGGCAAAATCGTTGGGTTTGGTTGTTGATCTATTTTGATTCCTACTTAATTATCCCTTTGCGCACTTAAGCTTCTGAATCATCCTGGCTGAAGGTCCTTCAACATATTAACTTATTTCATCATGAAGCTAATTTGACATGAAGAAAATTGAATTTGAACCAAAATCGGCCAGAAATTATGGGTTAACCCAATAGATCAGAAAGTCAATCAGACCTCTCAAAGTACTCGTCCC